TATAAAGCCACAGCCCAAAGACGGACAGACGAAAAGCAATCCTTCGAAACGGCACAGAGAGCGGCTAAACGCTGAACTCGACACCCTAGCCAGCCTCTTGCCTTTCGAACAAAATATACTGTCCAAGCTCGACAGACTATCCATCCTTCGCCTCTCCGTGTCGTATCTGCGGACGAAGAGCTACTTTCAAAGTGAGTATTGTGTTCTGTATTGTGAGTATTGTGCCCAAAGGAGGGGGTGTTGTGCTAGTCTTAGTGTAAGTGGGGTGCTAGGGTAGTGCTTAAAAGGAGGTGTAGTGGTACTTTCAGTATAAAAAGGGTGTTAGGCTTGTTTAAGAAAGGAAGGAATGTTGTGTTAAGTATTCGCATAAAGAGATGTGTTACTGTTAGAAGGGAAGGGCGATACATTGTGTTAGAAGGAAAGGGACGCCGAGTTCAGTATTAGAAAGAAAATGTGGACAATGTTACTGTTTGGAAAATGGCTATCACTATTATAAAGAAAATTTACGTAAATTCCATTACTATGAATAAAAAATCAGGAAAGACCTTCATTATTACAAAAATATAATGGAATAAATAAATCAGTGTAAACAAAAACATGTCACACGACTAGAAAGAAGAACACTGCAATTACATTAAAGTAGTTTATTATAAGAAAAGGCTTCATTATAAGAGCTACTTTTCAAGTATGTCATGTTATTTTACGAGGCATAAATCTTATAGTAAAGAGAGAATTCAACTGTAAGGTTACAATGTCCTAACATCACTGATACATTCTAATACGAATTGTATTTTAAGCCTATGAAGATACTTTTTTCTCTAACTGCTATCTTTCTAGAGATAATTCAGGTTTTAGAGGAAGTACTCTTCGCCGTGAGATAATGACTAAGCAACAGTGATCCCTTTTTACTACAGTCCCAGTTTAACTCACCGTTTAATTTCAAGTATTATGGCGACGTTATACTAACACTTAAAAGCCCCAGGCATATTATCATTAAAAATTCAAGCAAGATAAGCGAAGGAAAAAAATGATAATAATACCTTCCCCAAAAATGTTACACTTTGGAATGTTTCTGTTACACTCCAGAAATTTATAACCTGTCTAAGTACAAGTTATAATGTGCGCACATAGCCAGTACTGCCCTCCTATTGTAGCCAGTCGTTATCTTCGGTTCCAAACGACCTTATGTCACCGTCGGGCACTTGATCTACATTTTAATCAGCCCTTAAATATAATTACAATAGACTATGTATGGTTCCATTAGAGAACAAATTAGATTGTTATACAACAATTATGGTTACATATTACAAGTAAGTTGCTCCATTAAGAAACAAACTTTATTACGCCACTGTTAGGCTCTCAGTCTTTGCCTTAATCTAACTTAAAATGTAATTACAAAGTTTACGGAGACTCGCGACTATGGCCCCTTATTTCAACACGGGCTAATGTAATGTATAAGTGCCAGGGAGCCCGCCATTTTATGTCGTCTCCCTTATGGGTTCCAATTCTCTTTATCTCTTTTGTTATTCCTCTTAGGCACATGGTAATTCGGGGAGTATCTGGCATTCTATATATAATATCTCTTCTTCATTCTCTTATAGCCCCCATGCTATATCTCGAGAGAAAAAAAGTTAAAGTGGAATACATTCGTGGCACTGTCTATAACTTTTTTTCTTTATTTTTCCCCAGCCTAAGTAAACAAGTTCGAAGTATTTCCGAAATCGGGCGAAGAGCTGTGCTTATATATCGGGGTCCAATGCCAGTGCTTCATCAACTCGGTTTCCGCCTGTATTGATTACCGCTACTTGTATCCTCACACACACACACACGCACACACACACACCTTCCCTCCCTCCCTCCAAACCCCGATTTTTAGATCACCAGAAGTCGGAAACCTCGCTTTTTAGAGGTAAACATACTCTCTGCGTATGTTATGGTACCATGCGTGAGGTTAATATCACATGAGGGTTGTGTTTGTGTGAGTTACGAAGGGCGTTGAAACTTTCATCTTCTTACGGTTATGTCTCTCCGGGTTCTTTGTCGGCTGGCCTCTGAGGGTCTTTGTTTCCATAGCAACGAATGGACGCTAACATTGTCACGATCACCGACTCGTATTTCCATTTCGGTAAATTCTCTTCTCGGCAAATCTTTCTGACTTCGTTGATTTTAATCTCTGGGAGTTATGATTGTGTTACTTGATGTGCATAAAAGGTTGGAGTGTTTATCCTGCCGGAGTTGGACGCGTGGCAAGGATCCGAACGCATTTACTTAAGCCTAGGTCGGAGTCAGAGATCATAGCGCCGGCCTACCCCTAAGCGATGGAAAAGGGGAAGAAGCGGAGGTGCGGACAGTTTTATTTCCGATTTATATATTTCCCTCAACCTCCCTTTATGACGCAGACCAACTCATCGCTTCAGCCTTGCATTATTCCCGAGAAAAAAGACTTAGACGAAATAGAAGCGCACGAATTGCAGGAAAGAGAGGAAACGGCGGGAGTTGAATAAATGGGGAAATGCGATGCATGGAGATTTATGGAATACCAGGAATCAGAGGACGCGAGCAAGCCCTGCTATTGGCGGGCGCGCGGACAAAAACCTCCGCCCTATTGGTAGATCTTCAGATACAGACGCAGTGACTCATACCCAATGAAAAATACGGAATGAGTTATTGCCATTGGCTTGCGAGGTGGCCAATGATGGGGCGAGATACGGCTCGGTCGCGGACTGCGCCGGGCTGCGGCTCCGGGGTGCACGTGTGTACTTGTCGGTGTGCGTATACATACGTACATACATAAACCTGTACAAGCACATATCCATTTATCAAGCTATAGATAGACGTATATAAGGGTGTATGTACGTTCATGTATGCATCCATAAGTGAATACACATTTAAATACATTTATGAAAACCAATTTATAGAAAGACATACAACGCATGTGCTTGTATGTGTATGCATATTAAAATCCCACGGCGCTGTTACCTTGTCTCTAATTGGTGTCCACAAAACCATTTTTTTTCTTAGTCACACCATATCCCGAGCTATAATTTCCTTTTTGTAAACATAAATCAATCAAATCCAATGGAATCAATGTTATGTTCTTGGATAATAAGACTAGAATTACTGCTTCAATCGCGGTCGTTCATCCAATGAGCCGAGAAAAATGGCTTTGTTAAGTGTTCTTGTTGGAAGCTGGGTTATTTTAACAATTTATGTGGACAGGCACATGTGCCGATGCATGAGCGCACGCACAAACACCCATACACCTCGATATATATATATGTGTGTGTGTGTGTGTCTGTGTGTGCGAGACGCCTTCCCGCGGCTGCCATCTTGTCCTTTCTGATTGGAACTCCGGGAGAACGATCACCTGCTAGCGGTAGGGTGGGGGGGAGGGGGTCACCCAAGTGATTTATGAGATCTGTTACTGAAACTATGGGCACAGAGGCAGCACACACACAAATGCTTTATATGATGATCACGCGTACGCATATTTACACATACATGTGCATAGTTACATATATATATATATATATCGAGAGAAAGAGAGAGAGACAGGAGGTCATACCTACCTATGAGTGCTTATGCGTGTATTTAGATACATACATACATATGTGTGTGTGTGTGTGTGTGTGTGTATGTATGTGTGTGTGTGTGTGTGTGTGTGTGTGTGTGTGTGTGTGTGTGTGTGTGTGTGTGTGTGTGTGTGCGCGCGCGCTTGCGTACACACACACACACATACATACACCATTACGTCCATATATATGTGTATATATTATATATATATATATATATATATATATATATATATACGTATTTATATATATATATATATATATATATATATATATATATATATACGTATTTATATATGTGTGCGTGTGTGTTTATATATATACATGTATATGTATATATATATATATATATATATATATATATATATATATATATGTATGTATGTATGTATACGTGTGTGTAGTACATGGATATTGTTTAATAAGTATACACACTAAACATACACATTTGACTATTTGTGATTTGTTTATGATGCGATGGATTTTTATCCACGAAAAAATACACCGTCTCTCCTAGATTGGAAAATTATCCCTTAATCCCACCAACATTTTTGCTGTAGTAATAAAATAGAGTTGAAAGTGTCACAAATGTGAACAAAAAAAAGAGCGGAGACCGGGAGGCAAATAGACAGACCCAACTAGTGGGGAAATTACAAAAAAAAAAAAAAAAAAAAAAAAAAAAAAAGACAATAAAAAAATATAAAAAAGAAGAAAAAAACGTCACTGCCAACAACAGAAAACAACCAATAACTCCCTAAACAACATAATAACGACTCGGTCCCACGGGCTGTCTTCTCGCGACCAACTAACTTATAAAGAGCTTGTCCAAAGTGTCCTTCAGCTCCCCTTCTGACTTGTCCAGTTGTTGGCCAAATTAAGTCAATTGGTGAGCGGGTGTGTGCCACTTGAGGTCGTTGGATGGCCACAGTGCCAGCGGTGCCAGCCCTTTAAGCCGCTCTTGGTGCCGGGAAAGGGTTCGGCTGGCGGGAGCCTTCCGCTCCTCTCCTGGCGGGGCTTCGGGAGGGGCGGCTCCATCGCTGCAGAGGTTCGGTTACCTGGCCTAGGGCTCGGTCTCGGTCTTCCCTTAGTCTCGTCTATTACGCGAGAAAATTATGAAAAGACTCTCTCTCTCTCTCTTTCTCTTTCTCTTCCTCTCTTTTTCTCTCTCTCTCTCTCTCTCTCTCTTCTCTTCTCTCTCTCTCTCTCTCTCTCTCTCTCTCTCTCTCTCTCTCTCTCTCTCTCCTATCCGTTCAAGAATCGATTTTGATCCGAGTATTACTCTCTCCATCTCTTATTTTCTGTTCCTTCTTTGGAAGGGGTTGATGCTGTTTTTTTTTTATGGGAAATGTGTTGATTTGTCTGTGTCAACGGAAATTTCTCTTTTTATTTGTTATTTACTTGAAATGTGATGCTATGAACGATGTTATTATCTCTGTTATTGTCAAATTATTTTCCCCACTAAGAGAAATTACTGTTATCTGTTTATCACTCATGGACACCATGATATCACTTTCTGATTCAAGGGAATCATTGCTATCATATTCTCATTCACGACTTTATAATATTTTTCAAGTGATAAGTGATACACACATTTTATTCTTCTTAAAAAGAAATCGTTG